TTATTCCCCATGCTGCGTGCATTGGTGTACAGGCATTTGAGAGAGCCAGTCAAGCACGCAGGCTTCCCAGAAGAGGTGCAAGAGGATCCTCCATAGCCATGTTCCATGCTGTCTCCCCTGGCTGTATGCACCCGCTGGAGGCATCCTGACTTGAGCGGTGTTTTACTGACTCCCCTGCCACTATACCACTCCCCTTCCCCCATCTTGCCATCTTGTGCATTTTCTTAACCAGACAACTGTTTTGTACACAAGTCCACAACTGGTCAATTTGCGGGAAGATAGGCAATGCTATGATTTGGTTCATGCCATTTTCTACAAATTGGAGAAGCACAAAAGGGTTGTTACCGCTAATAATATAAATCACCTGTCTCCGCTACTATACATGGATGGTTGATTTCAATGCAGCTAATGTTATTACACTGAATTCATGGAATCACAGAATAGTTGTGATTAACATACATCTAGTCCATCTAGTAGAGCCCCAGGCACTCAAGCAGGGTAGGTAGAACAGGTTGCCCCACACTGTGTCAAGTCAGGTTTTGAATATCTCCGAGGATGGTGACTCCACAAGCCCTCAGGGCACCTGTTCCAATGTTAAACCACCCTCACAGTGAAGAAGGATTTTCTTGTGTTCTGGTGGAATTTCCTGTGTTTCAGTTTGTGCCCATTACCTCTTGTCCTGTCACTGGGCACCACTGAGAAGAAGAGTCTGGCCCTGTCTTCTTTATCCTTTCCCGTTGGATATTGATACACATTGATAAGCTCCTCCTTGAGCCTTCTCTTCTCCTGGCTAAACAGTCCCAACTCTCTGGTATGAGAGATCCCCCAGTCCCTTAATCATCTTTGTGGCCCTTCACTGAACTTGCTCCAGCAGGTGCCTGTCTTTCTTGTTCTGGGGAGCCTGGAAACAGTACTCCAGCTGTGTGTCTCACCAGTGCAGAGTAGTGGGGAAGGATCAGCTCCTTTGACCTGCTGTCAATGCTCTTCCTAAAGCAGCCCTGGATACTGTTGATCTTCTTTGCCACTAGGGTGCATTGGTGGCCCTTGTTCAACGTGGTGTCCCCCAGGACCCTCAGGTCCTTCTGTGCAAAGTTGTTTTCCAGCTGGTTGGTCCCCAGCATGTAGTGGTGCCTGGGGTTATTCCTCCCTAGGTGCAAGACTTGGCATTTCCCTTTGTTCAACTTTGTGAGATTGCTCTCTGCTCATTTCTGCAGGCTGTCAAGGGGCCTCTGAAGAGCAGCCAACCTTCTGCTATATCAGCTACTTCGCCCAGTTTTGTGTCGTCTAAAGACTTGGTGAAGGTACATTCAGCCTCATGATCCAGGTCCTTAATGAAGAGGTTAAACAGTATTGGCCCCATGACTGACCCCTGAAGGACACCACTACTGATTGGCCTCCAACTGGGCTTTGTGCTGCTAATCACAACCTTTTCAGCCTAGCGGTTTAGCCAATTTTCAGTCCAGTGCACTGCCCACTTATCTAGCCTGCACTTCATCACTAAATGACATTTTGTTTATGTGGCCATTTGTAGGTGTTCACACCTTGACCAAATACTAGCTGTTCTGAGCACGTACAGGAATTCAGAAGAGAAGTGGTACAGTTTATCATACGATAAATGAAGCTGGAAGAGACCTCAGGATGTCATTAGTCCAATCTCCCGCTTGAGTCAGGGTCAGCCCTGTGGTCAGACCAGAGTCACTGGACAAAGAGGATCTGAGACTCTCTACCAGGTGAGAGTCATAGTCTGCTTAGTCATCCAGTGTTGGATTGCCCATGTGGATTCCCCCAAAGAAGGGTAACTTACCAGTAACCAATGTTCAGGGTGTGTGACCCGTGTGCACATCTTAGTATCCCAATTAACTTCGACCTTTCTGATAGAAGTGAGAGAAGTGAAATAGTGGCAGATGTGCTTTCCCTTTATAAGCCACGTACCGAACAGTAGAGGTTGAGGAGAAGAGTTGGACTAGAGGGATACTGCACACAGGAAACTTTCTGGTTTCCTGTGACGTAGTGCAACAGTCCTTCTTAGTACCTGTGTATTATCCATTTCGAACACTGCTTTAGGTGGTAAAGTAGCCTTTCTTTTCTGCTGAGATGATGAAAATTACGAACATTACTTGCATATGAAAAATCCAACTTAGTAGCTCAATGATCCTTAGTAAGTTCTTTTAAATCATCTTTTTTTTAACAAATTATTTTTTCTTAACTAAAAACAGTTCAGTAGTTGGTATTGAGCTATTGGCCTTGCTGGCTTATTTCACAGTGATGGGAAATTACAGTTTTGGGGGCTTTTCTTAGCGCATAGCAGAAATGCTCACTGGCTGTTTCTTCCCTCCTTACATGATTAGTAACACTGCTGTTTTTAGGTTTTATTTTCTTCCAAGATATTTTTAAAGACCTTTCTGTTGCCCTCGATTGCAATGGTCATGGCTTTAAATAGATAGATTCTTCACATCTGGAGTTAGAAAATTTCTTTTAGGAATAACAAGCATATGATAGAGGAGTTCAAGAGCCCCTGTTCTGCCTCCTTAGTGAGAGGCTAGGGCATATGGTGGAAGGATTTTTATTTTGCCCAGGATAAGTTCCAGTTCTCCTTTTTTAGTAGAGCACTTGCCTGTTTAATCCCAAATCGGTGGTAGAGCTGGGAAGCTTATAACCTCTCAATTTTGTAGTACCGTTTACTGAACATTTTCAGAAATAGCCTACTGTATTTTGGGCTGCGTGTTAAAGATACAAGACCTTGTTGAAGATTACAGAATAAACACAAGATTGAGCTTTCTGGTCAAACAAACCCTTGCAATACAATGCAAAGATGCTCTAGAGAACTAGCAGTTCCCAGTTACCAAGTGTTTATAACCCAAACTCATAGTATCCTGACCTCTGTGAAGGAGGGATTTTGCAGTAGAATCTTCATTCCTATTTCTGTAATGTTTAAAAACAAAACAGAAACCCTGCCATTCTTCAGGTCTTGTCCATATTTTTCAGCTCTTTGTACCTTGATGTAGTGATGGCAATTTGCCTCGAGTCTTTCACAGTACAGATGCTCAACAAGCCCATGCACAAACACGAAGGACTGATGGCATTTGAACCTCGTGGCTTCTGGTGGCAGCCTGGGTGTGTTTCCTTAGGAGTTCTCACTTCCCTGTTGTCTGTATCTTACAACTGGGGGGAAGGCAGGACTGATCTTTAGGAGGGATGTTGCTGGTTGGCAGAGCTGCAGCAAAAGTTGGTACTGAAGTTCTGGAATTCTTGTTCTGTGGTTCAATTCTTCCTAACATGCTAACCCACCGTATACACCTCCTCTTCTCTGGCACTTTGCTGCTGGCAGCTAGAGCATATAAGGGGGAAGGAACAGAGAGGAAAAATGGGGGGATTTTGAGTCCCTTCTGCTGCTGATTGTACAATTTAGGCTGTCCCAGCTCTGGAAAGGGGGAGGGAGAAGCAGAGATAGAGTGGGACTGGTTTGTGCAGATACAGGCTAGAAGGGGCACTGTGGGATGAAGCTAGTGTGAGGTTTGCCATTAAAACAGAAATACCTGATAGAAATGATTGTATGCATTTCCAAGTTGGCTTGTCTTGTGGCTATGCAAACCCACTGTGCTTGTGCTACTAAGCTTTGTGTCTTGGTGCAGTGCTGTGTCTGCACTAGTTAACTGCATACCTTCTGGACAAGCAGGCTTATCTTTGGCCAGGCCAAAGCATGGGCAAAGCAAATGCACACATTTCTCCAGCTACCGTTGTGCATGTGGCTTCATTTTCCTATTGTGCTATTTGGGAGATTGCATCACATGTAATGGAGATCTGTTTTGTCTGGTATGTAGATGGATCCTGAGTATCGGGTGAAAAAATTCCTGGCTCTTCTGAGAGAAGAAGGAACGTAAGTACTTTTGTTTTAAAGAGTTGTTCAAAAATTTTTGGTGGAGTCAGAAACAAGGCAGCTACTTCCCTTTGAGAGGAAACGACCCTCGTTTATATATAAAGAGCTGTGTATCAGAGCGGTGCTCCCTATAGCTATACCCTACTTGTTACAGATGAAGACTTTTTGAGAACTGGCATGCCTGAATTCCCTGCTTTCTTCATTTACCTGTGCTTTTTAAAATAAATTTAAATGAGATATTGGACCATGGTTCTACTTTAACTAAAGTAAATTAGAAGAGGTTCTACTAGAGTTGAAATCCAGCTTTTTATCTAATATCTGGAACTTTGATTTCCTGCATTTCTCCTGTCCAAGTAAAGGATGTCCTGCTCTTTCCCCTTTAGGTATCACAGCGAAGTTAGGCCCAGGCTTGACTGTGACATCTCCTAGAAAATGACTTTCTAATACATGTAGGGCAATACCTGTTCTGGGGAAGCTCACAACACGATCTATCCTGGCTACATGTGAATGCTTGATGCTTTTATACACATCTGTGCTTTCTTGATGGATTTGGCTTCTTTTGCAGGAGTTCCCTAGACTGAAGATGGACCAAGTGCAAGATCAACAGCTAGAAAAGTGACCAATCTGGAGACTATACACTGGGATCTTTACTCATCTGTGTTCAACACACTGGACAAAGTGAAATGCTTCCGTGTTTCCAAGAACCCAATGTGGAATTTGCATGTTTAGTGCAATACAGTATCTTTATCCTTTGTCTTTAATATACAGATGTCATGTGGAAGTGTCTTCTAGAACACTGTGCTTCTGTATCTGTGCAGGCAAGGTTATGTTCTCATTTGATTTTAACATGGGGGAAATGTCCTGTAAGTTTTGAAGCTAATGCTCGCTTGTGTCCAGCATCCAGTTGCTATGATAGGAAAGAAAACCTGACTTCTAATAAAACCTGACAGTCTGTGGTGAAGTTGTATTTAAAGTACTATTCTGTATTATTCTGGGCTGATGAATACCTTCTTGTTCAGTTATGTTGTCATATGCCTCATTGAATATAATTACTGAGCCAGGCAGATAACCTAAAGAAAGTGACTACAATAATTTAGCTCTAGAATTTTCTAGATCCTAATACCCTTTTTTTTTTTTTTAATGCCCAGGTATTTTGTGGCCTGATGGGGGAGAGACTGCCTAATGGTATTAATGACAGAAAGAAGGCAGGGAAATATGTTGATCAGAGTAGAGGAAACTTTCAAATCCAGTATTAATGGCTTCAGAACTTGTTGTTAATTCAACTACAGTTGTGAGATGCTGGTTCCAACCTGAAAGCTCTTCATGAGTGCAGTGTAGAAGGTAGTTCTGGCATTAGCCATGCTGATTATATTCCATTTTTCTGCCATGTTACCAAAGGCTGAAATTCATCCTTTGAGAGAGAGAGAGGAGGCTAAGCTCTCAGGCATCCATGAGATGTACATTGCCACAGTTTTGCACTGAGGTAAAGGAATGTATCAAACTTTGCTTACATGGTCCTTGCCCAATAGTCATCTCACATCAATGAGATGCTGTTGCTGATGACTGCATGAGATTACTTCCCTCTGTTTCATTGGCTCTGCCTGTTTAATAAGGTTCATAGAACATACCTCAATTTGGTGGGGCAAGAAATCAAAGCCATTTATGAGATCTTAGTCAGGGTAGCTTCCTAAACTTGACTAGACACCCTGTAAGGACTAGCAGCTTTGTACCTAAATCGACGTTCCCAGGGAAGGAAGGTGCTTTGTGTTCTTTAGGCCTGAACGTGAAGGTTCTCTAGTCCTTATTTTGCATACTTAGAGCTATCAGAGTATTTTAGCCACTCCACTCTGGTTTCTTTTCCTTTGGCAGTGCTGTTGTATTGTGATGACATTGCAAGTCCCAGTGGTTATTATTCCCTTTCATTTTGTGTATGATCTTGTGACTTTATTTGTTCTTCTTCACTCTGCTAGTCTTAGTGACAACAGCACACGTTAACTTATTTTTAAGAGTAAATGATATAAACCTTATTATGTCTTTGTCCAGAGCTATATTGATGAATAAATATCTGATCTAATTGCACATTAATGGGTTCAATAAAAAGCACAACTACTTGTGATGATCTGGGAGACAGCTGTGTCTTTGGGGGTAGTTGAGCAGAGGTATATGTATTGAGTGCTGCTGTGTGGCATGAAGATAGCCAAGTGCTTCCCAAGATGCTGAAAGCCAAAAGGATGCTAGGCTGTTTGGACCTGAGCCTGGATAGCTTGAATACAGATAGTCCTAAAGGAGTTGGCTGAGAAGAGCTCTGGTCCACTCCATTTCAGTTTCTTGGACCCTGCAGTGCTGGGGAAATCCTGAAGATGGGGAGTGACATATCACTCTTCAGGAAGGCCAAGTTGGAAGACCAGAACAAACTGACTAGTGTGACATCTCACCCATTCCTCCCTATTCTGTGATTTTCCGTCTGTTGGGTTTACTGCAGGTGGAAGTTGGCAGAAGAGAATGACCCGTCAGCTGCTTTCCGTCACACTTCCTCTAACACATTGTGCCTTGGCAAGTGTGGTTTTATATTGCTTTAAACAATAATACACAAATTCTTCCTCCCCTTCCTTCTTTTATCCTGCTGCTTTTTCCTGAACTTTACGGAAATGTAACTGTTTTGTAAATTGAATTGTTGGCCAAAGTCAAGTAAGTTTGAAAATATTGTTGGATTTTTGGGGTGGGTAGGGGGGAGTGGAGAAGGCGATGGGATGATAGACAAACATGCAGATAGCTTCCAAAGGAAAATAGGTGAACAAGCTTATGCTACGCACAAAAAACCCCATGAGGGCAGAGCTGTCAGTCATCTGGATTGCTAGCCAAACATTATTTGTGTTTGTGTAACTTTGAAGGCATCACTGCTGCCCTCCAGTAGGAGATGACACTTTGGCAGAAGTGTGCTGCGTCCAGCATGGTCGCAGTGTAACAGAGCTAGGAATTAGTAATGCACAAGCAATGTGAAGTTTCAAGCAGGGCTGTACAAAAAGACAAATATGATTGTTTTGTCTATACATTGGAGATCAGTACAGGAGTATAGAATAATTTTTTTACCCTGCAGGTGGCCCAATTTTAGGCTAGTGCTGTGGAAAATTGTGTGCACTTAAAAACGTCATTAATGCATGGGAGATGTTGCAGAAACACCTGCAGAATTATTCATGGGTAGAAGATGTCTTTAAGTGAGAAAATTTGGGTGTCAAGTCTGTCCAAACAATCAAAAGGTGATTCAGTGATAGCATGTAATACTTTTGTAGAGGGAGAACTTGTAGTCTAAAGGCTATTTTAGTCCAGGATTCTAGCAATGTATGTACACCGTGGCGTTGCACTCTTTAAAATTCAAATCTTAACTTTTTTGCTGTAAAAGCTCATATATTGGCTTCATTTTACAATCACTGCCTTGCATTCACGTGACTTTTGCTGTGCCTAAGTAACTGGATGAAGCACCACTGCTCCTGTAGATGTCCTTCAGCAGTGAACTCAAATGACCTTAGAAGGCAAACCACACAAGCTGGCAAATGCATATATGTATATTTTTTTACCTTCTCTTTAATGACTTACCAAAAAAAAATGCAAGTTGAAATATATTTTTCTCCAAATATATATATTTATATAATATATAATCTTAGTTAACTCAAGTAAATACACTGTGTAATAAATAATGCTTATAAAAAGAGAAATTTTCTGAATATAAAATAAAAAAAAATCAACCTCTACAACTTTGTACAAAACTTTGGATACAGCAGATTGATGGAAAAAGTTCTTCCATTCAGTGCTAGAATACCTGGCTACAGTCAAATAATTACAAGGCAATAAATGTTCTATTTAATATTAAATACCTTTTCTTGATTAAAAAACAAAAAATGACAGGGATTCTTCTGTTTAAAGTCAGGTACTTGGAGTTTTTTCCAGACACAGAATTTTATATATACTTTTAAATAGAATGCATATCAGAAGATGGCTTATTTCTGAGGGACAGAGTTTTCTTTAGCTATCCAGTGATCTTTAATTTTAGAAAGCTAATACTTATGTGGCTGCTTGAATCTAGTAGTTCTTTATCATACTCTGCAGAGAAGGAACTGAGAATTTTGTTCTGATTCTTGCCACTTGCAGGTCTGAGTGACTGTGCCATGTACATGTGGGGGCTTTCACCTGTGTTATTACTCTTTGCAGTACAATGTACAACTGTTTCCCATGGACAAGTGAGTGGGATAGAGGACACAGCTTTAATGTTTTAGACAATTTTTGCAACTTCTATGTCAAATCACTGGCACATGAGAAGTGTCATCTGACCATGCTGATGTCACCTCATTGGTCTTGGCCCCCATCATCTGTGGAGGAGCCCACCAGGACATAAGAGTGTGGTGTTTTTTTGTTTTTGGGTTTTTTGTTTTTGTTTTTTAATTTCAGGGGTCAATACACAATGACAATGTGAGCCCAATACGAGAGAGAGATGTATCCAAGGAACACCAGGGAGCAGGAGGAGGGACAAACACTGATTATTCTGCACTAAGATGTGTCATGGGACCTGTGTGGCTACACCTGGGGCCCAAAGCCATGTTAATGTTACAGAGCTTCTAGGCTTGAGCTGAAGCCTTCATAAATGAATTGCTGATAGCTCAAGAAATAATCCTATGGGAAGGAAAGGGCATATGAAGAACTGTGATACTGCTTAACACAGCCTGCTAAAGGTTTGCCCTTCCCATCTGTCCTAGCCTCTCTTGCTGAACAAGGTGGTTTGAACAATTCTGATGGAAGAAACACTGGTGAGAAGACTTCTACAGAAGTTTCTTTTGCCATAGCTTCTGTCTCCTCGTCTGTTACTGATACTAAAAGCTTGTGTAGCAGCTAACCTGGCAGGTGCCATCTTACCAGAGAGATGCTGTGAGGTCATCCTGTGATGAAAAGTCTTATTAAGGGATGCTTAGTAAATAGGTGCAGCAACAGTGTGGATCTGTCCAGTTCTGATCT